AAACTTAATCCCACCAGGATCTCCATTATTAGTTCTTCCTCTTGATTTTTTTCCCCCCATGGGGATTTTTATGATGACCAGATGGTGCTCTGAAGAATCTTTAGACAGATCAGCATTTCACAATGGCAAATTAGAAAAGCTAAAATCTATTTTTGAGTTAGTGAATTAAAACCTATATCTTTTCATCTGGCTCACTCTGTCCAAAACAGTCAAATTCTAGTTCATATTTAAAATTATTCAATTATTCTCTTATTCACATGGCAGAATACTTTAATTTATAGGACAGTCCTGTTTTATTTTGTCCCATTATATAACAGTAATTAGCCACTCAGATGCACCGTTTCTTCCCCTGACTTCTACCAATTTTAAAAAKTATTTCATACACTATGTCTTTACTGGGGATCCACACTCCAGGAAATATCAATTAAATTCCATCAGCAGCAAAAATGTAAATGTCCTTTTCATATTCATCACAGAGTATTTCATCTTTCATGGAGAAGAGTTGCTGAATGAATGTTTGAGGATCAATCTGGTGGTAAATTGTTTATTTCTCAACTTGGCCCAAATTCTAATTTTTAAGCATACCAAATTCTTCTAAATGTTCAAGTAATTGTCCTCCTGGTCAACAATCTCTTAAATTTAAGAAAAAATTACAAGGCTGCACATTTGTCATATAAAATCTTCCAAATAATCTAACACCTCAAAAGTTTACATTCTAAACTTTTCATCTATGGAGTAAATAAAAGCTTGGAGCCTGCTCACCTTTATGTAGGGTTCTAAGTGGTGTCTAGGGATGCATGCTTCCTGCATAAACCAGATGGCTAGTTTTATCAGAAAAAGACTGAATTATTTCTTTGGAATTTTGRTAGGAATGGCCAATAAAAGTATGTTGGTAAGAACCTACTTTATATAGAGTTAAGAAAAATTGTGCTGTAAATGGGTAATAATGAGTGTAATGCATTCCACTATTGTCATGTATGTAAAAATAAATTAATTAACTTTTAAAAAAGAATCTAWCTTGTATCTGACCCAGTTATTCCCATGTTATAGTCAGATTTTAACCTCCCCCTTTAACTAAGCTGAATAACATGGGTTTTTCCCAACTTATCACTTCCTTCCTTCTATCTATGCCTTTGTATATAGGAGCCTCTCTGTCTGGAATACACTTCCCTTTTTTCACTGTGCATCTATACAAATTCCTACTCTTCCTTCAAAACTCTGATCAAATGCCTTTCCTGAGGCTTCTCTAAACATTTCATTCTAAATACACACACACACACACACACACACACACATATACATACACACTCACACTCAGACACATACACACAAGCAGGCTGGGCTGTTTTCTCTCTGGTCCTTCAATAACACTTCATGGATTACCTCAAAAATTATTTGGCTACATTATCTTATTAGATTTCAAGGTCTTAGAAGTCAAGATGTATCATTTATTCATCTTTGGACCCCAGGACCTTGTCCAGCTCTGCCCCGGTAATAGGCACTCTATGTGCATTTATAAATAATTAACTGATTAAATAACATATGCCAATGAGTGTAAAAATTATTCTTAAATTCTGGAAGATAACATTATTCTCCTATATAGAAGTCAGTATCTGTGACTGGAAGGACCAAAAGTAGGTATTCTATTTTTTAAGTTTTGAAAGATTTTCAGGAGACAGAAGTAAATTTTGAAAGGTTTTCAGGAGACAGAAGTAAATTTAAAAATTCCTCAGGGAAATAAGAAACAAACTTGAGGTGTGGGTCCTGAATTTACTTGCCCAATGTAACTCATGTTTGGTATAGAAAATATCCTAAAAGAAGGGGGAAACTGAGTAAAAGAAAACTTTTCAACTAAAAAATAATGGAAGTCGGCTCCTATAATTTCTTTAAAAGTGAATCTTAATTATTAGTTTGCAAAAGAGTGAAATCAGATGAAGTAAACAAAATCAAGGGCTGAATATCTCTCAACTCTGATACTAGGTTGGCTTCCCGGTGGCCTCAGCAAGAAGAGTCATGTGAACCAAACTTTACCAACTTAGGAACAGTCCAAAATATGTCAAAGTATATTCTCTACTGTTTTTTAGCTCATTTTAAACTTATCCAATATTTTTACTTTGAAAATAAATGAAAAATAAAGTGAATTATAAAATTACTCATTTAAAATATCTAACATTTTATTGTACATTGCTTTTTTTCTTAATTACTTTTATGATAACCACAAAAATTTAACTTTCTGTTAAGATCATTAAACTGATTTTTTTTTTTTTTTGGCCAGGAATTTGGTCTGGATGCTTGAAAGAGGAAGAGCATACTTTCTGAGTTCCAAAATGGCAATATTTGAAAATATTGTGCATGAAAGAGACTCTTGGAAGTATTCTTAGAATTGATTATTTTCTAACTACTGCACCTCTCCCACCCTCCCACAACTTAAAAAAATAAAATAAAGCTTTGGGTGGAGTTAAGAACTCTTTTCAAATGTTAAACAATAACTGGAAATCCTGAAAATGCATTCTTTTTTATCCAGTAGGGAAAAACACTTTAAAGTCTCTCTCTCTCTCTTTCTTTTTTTGGCTAGAAATTGTTTAGCAAGGGATACAGTCAATGGCTTCTATTTTGAACAGAAAGTTCAATTTTAACTGCCTGAAATATAATGCCATCTGTGTTTATTTTCCTTTCCAAAACACAATTATTTTTTTTCCCTAAACATAATGAGTACATGGTCCTAATAACCCAAATAAATACATGAATGCAACTRATGATTTACTGTAATCAAAAGGTGAAATTAGTTAGAGCCTGCATCATCAGAGTATGGATTTGATTGCAAATGTAAATCACACATAAAGCACATTTGTAAATTTAAATTTTAAAAATATTCTGATTAATAAGTAATTACATGTTCTATGCATATTTACCAGAGTGCAAGTAGCTATAAGGTGAGAAACAGGGGCACTATGCACACCACAGTGTAATTAGTGGACAGAGAGATGAGCCAGGAGACAAAACTAAACAATCCCAGAATCTCTGAACCTAAGTCCCCAAATCTGTATTATCTGCTGGCTTCACCTGAAACAGTACCATCTGGCATGTGGAGATTACTCAAAAATAAATTTCTAATTTATTAATAAGTTATTTTAAATTACTTTAAATTCTAAAAATATACAACTGTAAACAGCAACTGATAAATTCATGTGAAAATCATTCTGACAGTTTTCTAAGGTAGAAGATGTGCTTAACTCTCTTTTCCTACCAAATCTTCCATGAGGGAAAATTCAAATATTCATTTAGAGTTTATTTGCATTTCAAAGAATACTTAAATTGCATATATTATTTTTATTTCGATCTGACATTCGTGCATGGTCTTCAAAAGTATCTGAAAGTATGACTTTTTTTTAAAGCCATATTCAAAAGAATATGATCCCCAGTGTTGGTTCTAGAAAGTTTCTGTGGTGCCAGGTTTTCTATTTTCAGGAAATGGAGGATGTGTTATAAGCCTGCTCAATGACACATCCCTAAAATAGCTGGGCAAGGTGACTTAGCGCCTAATATTTCCCATTTCCACTTGGTCTTCAAAGGGCACGAGTTAAGCAGACTGGGAACATTATTCACTTGAAAAGCAAAACAAGAGGTCGGCAGCCAGACCACTGCTACCATCTGAAAGCCATGGGGATTTTGACTCAAGAAAATTTTTAACTTCTAATTCTCTACCTTCTTTATCTCAGTTAACGTGCAGAGGACTGACACACACTCTTCCAAAAGCTCAATCCTGAAGGCAGGTCCTGGTTTCTCATTTCCCTTTGTTTGGAAGCAGCTCTAAAATACATTCTTAACTTGTTATGGTGAAATACTTAACACATCCTGCAGGTACCTGTTTTCATAATGTGTGTGGATGTGTTTGTGTGTGTGCATATGTGTGTGGTTTGTTTTTACACTATTCACTCATATCTTATCTTGGCCTCTAAACTTTGTTCCTGAAACTGTTTTCTGAGTATTATGTAGAGAATTGATATTTTGTATCTCAACAGCTTTTTATTCATAATCTCTCTTTCCCCTGATATCTACTGGATGCATTAGACAAATTAATACCTGGATGGCAAAATAAACCTGCCATAATTAAATAACAAATGTTGATTTATAAATCCTTCATCACAGCAGATGAAAACATATCATGGACAACATTTAAACTACATAAGATCTACTTAAAACATTATTTAGTACACATAATTAAGAAACAAAGCAATCTTTTTTTTTTTTTTTTTTGGTGGTGCTGGGGATTGAACCCAGGGACTCCTGCATGTGAGGCAAGCACTACTACCAACTGAGCTTTATCTCCAACCCTAAAACTATCATTTTTAACTCTTTTCTAATTTCAATTTATACTAACTTGTCCATTTTGTCAAATAATACAAAATACTAGGTAATGATGAATGATTAATATCTCCAGTAAAGATTTTATGCTAATAACCAATTGTATTATGTTTCTCATCTACCATTTTGAGGCAGCTTTACAATAAAATGTACCAACTGTAAATGGATAGTTCCAAGCACTGACTTATGTATAGTCATTTAATATACCACAGCATGGTGTGAAACATCCCCATCACACCAAAAGTTCCCACATGGGCCAGGTGTGGTGTGCATACTTGGAATTCCAGCAATTTGGGAGGCTGAGGCAGGAGGTTGGCAAGTTAAAGACCAGCCTCAGCAACTTAGGTAGACCCTATCTCAAAATAAAAAATAAAGTAAAATAAAAAGGGCTGGGTAGAAAGCTCAGTGGTGGAGTGCACCTGTGTTTAATCACCAGTTCCACAAAAAAATTAATAAATTTAAAAGATTTTTTTTAAAGGGCTGGGATGTAACTCAGTGGTAAAATGCACCTGGGTTCAATCCCCAGTATCAAAATAAGCAACTGATCTTAACTTTTTTAAGCCGTATCTTTAATTTAGTACGCTTGAAAACATAACCCAACAACATCAATATTGCCAAATGTGAGCAGTACTCACGAGAGAATGTTCCCAATGTAGGCATAGTAGGAGCAGCAGTAGGGCGTGGTCCCATCGCAGCAATAGGATCTGCAGTCTTTGCCACACTGAGCAAGGCAATCCTCTAAACAACAGAAACCACAAAAGCAGTTAGGGTTGTGAAATCAAATTCATATCTTAGTAGGTCAACAATCACTTTTTCAGTACACTTGTATCTTCACGGTCATGCTGTGAATCCCATAACATGTGCAAGAGTCTAAACTAGCCTTTCTTAATAGTCACACTCCGGGCTATTAAAGGCCAAGACCATTCTTGAATCTCCTGCACTAAGCACAATCATTGGTAGGGGGTGTTGATTTACTGAGATAATGAAGGGAGAAATTAATGAATGAGCCAACTAATCAGCCATTCCATTTGTCAACAGAGTTCTTACGTTTTTAATTGATGGTTTTCTGATTTTAGGATGTTACATTCTCATCCTCAATTAATGGAAAGTGTTTCTGAAAGGGGTCACACCAAAAGAGTGACAATTTAAAACCAATGTATGACTGACATGACAATGCATTATATGTTTTTCCTTTAACACCTATTTTTACCCTCATAATTACAGTTTGCATACATACAGCAAAACACAAATGAGATGGAAGGTGATGAGTTAGTTAGACAAAGAGTTCACTCAGATAATTAATTTGTGAATAATTAATAGTTTAATATCACAGGGAAGAACTCATAAGTTTTGAAACATCAAGTATAAAGTGGAAAAGGGTGTTTGGGGATTAAAAGAATATGTGGGAGTCAACAAAACTAAATTGCTACTTTTTCAATGTATTCTTCAATAAGTAAAATTTATATCAGAAATATTGAGTACAAATCGCACTAGCTTTTGAAATTCTTTATTCTACCAAAGTGATTTATATCCAACAGTTTAAGATTATCACTGAGTTATAACCAGTAAAATATAATGGATGTGTGAATTTCAGGTATATGATTAGAAAAACATTAAATASTCTGATAATTTAAGTTATGTGTTCAAGAATCAAGAAATGAGTCATTTTCAACTCAATCCTTGAAGATAACATTATTATATAAATTATACAAAATTTTTGTGTTCCTAAGAGTTATAACATTTAAAGTATAAAGCATTATATTTTTGTCTACACATCCCTGTATTCATTTATCTAGAAAAGAAAGTTTAGACTGGTTTTAAACCCCTCTTTGCTAAAATAGTTCTTTACAAAGGGACGTGTTCAGGTCTCAAAGCTCATCTGCCTTCATTAATAATGCATGAATTTTGTAGAACAAGTAAGAAAGTTCATATTATCTTTCCCTCAATTTTATTTCTACATTACAGATTAATAATTATGAACCTTGAGGTTTTCAGTAACTCTACTGAAATCCACTYTTAAATTTCAAAGAAAGAAACACAGTATTATTTATATCCAAGGGAGAAGCTCATGTATTAACCATCACTATTTTTTGCAAAGGATGTCACACATTCTYAAGAATATTTTTTGTCATTGTAGATGGACATAATGCCTTTATTTTATTTGTTTATTTTTATGTGGTGCTAAAGATTGAACCCAGTGCCTCACACAAGCTAGGCAAGCACTCTGCCACTGAGCTACAGCTCCAGTCCCCATGGATACCACACTTTTCGAGACTACTTATTTTATAATTTTCTCCATGAGTTTTCTGTAGCTCTCATTTTTAGGCCTGTTCAATTTGTTGAAAATTTTAGACTTGTCAATTATCGCTGGACTTAGCAGGAATACATTGCTTCATGTTCTTTAAAACCACTAAAATCAAGAGACAGCCAAGTCCTCACTATTTTGTCAGAGGAAGATACCAATATGTAAGAAAATTCACAGGTGCCTTTTGAATAATGCCCAGAGCAGTGAAACCCTCTAAAATTCTCCATGAATATCAAAGATTCAATTACTAACATTGCACTCCAATTACTACTATCATAAGAACATGGTGTTATCAAWATATTTTGATCCAACATTACAGGAAACCAAGCCCAAAATCTTGTAGCCAAGAAACTGGACTATACCTGCAGTAAACATCTAGATCATGTCACACATTGTCCATTATTTTTATGGCATTTTCCAGTACTCTTGTCTATTTCCCAGAATTAAGCTACTACTGAAAAGGGCAAATACAGTCACAATCATGACCTTGCGTAACTGAGTTTTCAATCATACCTTAAAGCTCATTTTGTGATGTTAATTGCTTTCTCTGGCTGATTGTGAGGATAATTTTATGAAGATCCGACTCTGGACTGTACAGGGTCATTTTCTCACTTGTGAGAGAATGGAATACTCCAATTGTCCTTGGAAGATAAATAATATCACTTCTAATATCCAAGTTAATATCCCTGAAAATTAGCCAGTTCAAACTTTCTTCAAAGGTTTTTTAATTAAAGGCATGATGTGGAAGAAGGTTCCCCTACTCACCCTGCACCCCTCCTTAAGGAATGTGCAGTACAGGAAAAGCCATATCTGGCTTGAAGCACTTGCTTGCAAATGGCATTTGCAAGCTATAGCTAAGGACAAGAGAGGAAGGAAAGGGAGGGGATAGAAGGCACTGGCTGTGGCCCAGAAGGTAAAACCTTGACCAAATCCTGTCTTTGTAGCCTGCTGTGGGAGTTGGACAATAATATAAACACTACAGTGGGTATCTTTCCAAAGGTGACCTGAGGGTAAACCATGATAATTCAGGTATAGAAACCTTGCTGTTATTTGCAAAACCACATGGAATATGGATTTTTTTTTTTTTGGAGGAGGAGGGGGGAGGAGACACCAAGGATAAAACTCAGGGGCACTTGACCACTGAGCCACATCCCCAGTCCTATTTTGTATTTTATTTAGAGATGGGGTCTCACTGAGTTGCTTAGTGTCTCTCCATTGGTGAGGCTGGCTTTGAACTCGAGACCTTCCTGCCTCAGCCTCCCGAGCCTCTGGGATTACAGGTGTGCGCCACCATGCCGGCCTTGGAAGGTGGAGTTCAATGCATTCATTTTGCAGAAAATAATTCAGAAGATAAGTGGTTTATCTACTTTGGTTTTTGTCCCAAGAAACTGGTAATTTACCACACTGTTTGAATATTTTTCTTTCTGTGGTTTTCTGGCATCTAGCCCCAACAGACACTTCCAATTTTATATCTTAGTTCTAACCAAATGGAATTATCCATCATTGAACATATCCAGTTCATTGTTTATGCCTTTGTTCCCACTATATGCCCTAACCCATCTCCTTTTGTCTGGGGTTTCTCTATTCTTTGAAGATCTTGCCCAGAAAAAATTCAGAGCATGACCTGTGCTTATTTTCCAATAAATAGGGCAAGCTTAAAAAGGCATTGAAATAAGAATTTCAGGAATCATCACCAAAGAACTCATTAACTAAATATTTCTTATGAAAGACAACCTAGTACCAGCTTGCAATTACTTCGTAGTTTACTAGGTAGATTGAGAATCAGAGAAACAGAAGGAGTGACAGCTATCCATAGGAAGCGACCTTGCAGCCGGCCAGCCTTGCTGGTTTCCTGAGTCCTGGGGAACTGGAGACCTAGCATTGAGAAAAGTAGAGGAAGAGGACAGGGRTGCAAAGTAGAAACTTTCAGTCCACCAAGGGCATAAAATACACACAAGAATAAGAAAAACCTGGTTCAGTGAAGTGGCTGAGTAAGGGCAAGCAAGGATTAAGCAAATTTCATGTGTTTATTATTTTCATATTTTTATTTTCTTTTGATAAGCAGAGGAGGAGAAAGAATCATCATTGCTTCCAATGAACTAATAAAGAGATTTTTAAATAAAACTAACATGAGTGCAATTGATACTCCATCAAATATGGAAAGCCTCATAGGATTTAAATAAAATGAATATTGCAATCAGATTAAAATGTTAGATTCATAGAAGTAGACTTTTCTACTTCTATGAATTTCTATATTAGAAAGTCAGCATTTCCCCTACAATAAAACAAGTTTTGCATTTTAATAAACAGATCAAAAATTTCTATTAAAGTTATTCTGACTCCTTTCTGTCAAAGTTGGATAAGGAATTCAATTCCCTTGGTTCTCAGGTAACAAAGTAGAAGAGCATCTTCATTCCAATGACAGAATTTTTTAAATCTTAAAAGGTAAATTGCAATGTTATTCATACACTTAGCATTTCAAGGTCATGGGTAAGACTGTGATTTTTGTCATAGGAACTTAGAGACATGAAAACATTTTACAAAGAACTTGCTTTTTGCTGGCACAGTTTTGTGAACCAAACAGATGCAAGGACCACATATGTAATTAACTTTCTACTTGAATAACCAATGAAAGGCCATTTAGGGCTCTGTATCAATCACAAAACAAGAAAACCCACTTTGCTTCATTAATTATTTGCAATTCTCACTAAGAGTAAATGGAAGGAGGAAAATGAGATGCTCTTCACGTACAAGTGCTTAACCACATCAAAGAAAACAGATTAGACTCTGGGTGAATTCGTGCCTCTCAAAAATTGTATGTTTAAGTCAGAGCATTCAATTGTCTAGCTTTCAATACTTGTGACTCTCCTAAAGAGCAAAAGCAAAAGTGTAAGGCTTTTTATTTCTAACAGAAAAAAAAAAAAAAACCGAAATATTTAGAAAGTGGGAGATAGAAGGGGCCATGAGTTACCCATAACAAAATGGGAAATTCACCAAATTCCACTATTTTTAAATTAGCAGTACTTCTTTGCTTCAGATGCTTTTTTGAAAGTGATTTCCCATTACCCCTTAGTCCCCGCCATCGCCCCAGATTTCCCTTGAATCCTTGATACATTTTGTCCTGCTTAGAGTGAAATCCCCTAAGTACCGGAATGTGGATTCCAAGTTGCTTGGCAGAGAGAAAAAAGAGGGGGAAAAAAGCAAACTAGAAAAGTTAAAGAAAAAAAAAAATCAAAAATACAAAAACAAAAGGCCGAGCAGAGGGCTCAAGCGAGCTGGTTCCTGCTGTCGCCTGGCGGGGACTCCACCAGCTCTGCTGGCTACAAAGGTCCTTTTCTGTCCTGCCCAGCCGGCGTCTGCCCAGACGGCGACCTGACCACAGTCCCTAGACCCCTGACCTTCTCCCGCCGCCTGACCTTCTCACTGACCTGCGTACACAAAAAGCAGGACCAACTTCGGAAGCAAGACCCCTGGATGCCCGGGCAGCCTCAGGGCGTCCATCCAAGCCGGTGGCCCGAGACTGCGCGCCAGGACGGACAGACGGACGGACGGTGTGGACCGAGGCTGGAGTTCCAGGAGCGCGCGGTACCGGAGGGCGCGGGAGGATGGAGTGCGGTCAGACGGAGAGAGCAGTGCTCCTGAGAGCCCGGCCGAGCGGGGACCTGGCCATGGCCCGGCCAACCTCCGAGGAGAGCTTGTCCGCGCGTGGCACCACGTGAGAGGTGCGGGCTCCGGGCTGGGGCGCGGCGGCGAGGACCCGACGCGCTGGGGGCTGAGGACTCTTTGTCCCTCCCCACTGCACTTGAGGRAGGCGGCCGTTCTGGCGTCAGGGCCACCCAGGCTCACATTTCATCTCCGCGGGTGGCACTAACAGGGGGCAGAGGGCGGGGTGGCGCGACTCCTCCCCACGATGCTGTCTGTGCTTCCTTCTGTAGAGTGACTGACGACACGGCCTGGTCCTGAAGGAACTTTTTCTAACCCTCTGCCTGGGCTGTTGCTATGGTGTTTGACCAGCTCCTTTTCCTCTCTGCCCTCTAGCACTATTCTGTCCTTCATAAGCAATAGATAAAGAACATTACATTTTTTATCTCTAAACAAATGAAGAGAATTTTTCAGGGTTGAAGCTAATTGTACAAAGAATGAGAGTAAAGAAAATCCAGAATTGGAAAGTACAGAGACTGTCTGGTATCTTTGCTGAAAGCTGATAAAATGTTTTATTTATTAAATACATAATGAAAGCATGCCAGTAGAGCAAGGGAAAGCAAAACAAAACAAGAATGTACACACTCACCACTATTGTTGAACGATATTCTGGAGTTACTGGCCTATGCAATTAGAAAAGAGAAAGGAAAAAAAATTTTTTTTTTTCCTGGATTGGAAGCAAAATTATTATCAAATGAGATGGATATGTGAAAATCAAAGGGAACCAACTCTAAAGCTCTCATCTAAAAAAATAAATTTTTCTTTCTTGCAAATAAAAATTATCAAAGGCTCAGTGTTATGAAGAAAGGAGGAAAAATGGGGGAACAAGTAGAGATACTTCTCTTAGCTAACAGATATTAAGGCTCCCTAAACTATTCTATAAATTTGAGAACAAAACTATCTCGATAAAAACAATACCAACATGTTTCTTTTTTTTTTCCCCAAGCCAATTTGATCTTAAAGTTTGTGTGGAAAGTAAACATGTAAAAAAAATATATATATGTATATATATATATATATATATATATATATATATATGAAGAATGAATGGGACTAGCTTCAGCAGATATTGAATATCTATGTATTATAATATCACAATAATTAAAACAGTTTAGATTAGCCATTGAGATACATAGGCTCAATGGCAGAGAATAAAGAAACTAACCACATACAACAATTCAATTTATGATAAAACAGTGTAATAGCAGGGGAAATGACTTTACTTTGTTACTCAATAAATTAAGTTGGTACATGCATAGGCGTTTTGGAGCTTTATCTTCTTCCATTAAAGTCAATTCCACAATGAATTAAATATTTAAGCTTTTTACACATGCTGACAAGAAAATTTTAGATAAAATAAATAATAACATTCAAGGAATTATGAAACAGGAGAGTCTTTTCTAAAAATTCCCCAAATTCAGAAACCATAAAAGACAATATTGACCAATTTGACTAAATAAGAATTAAGAATTTCTGTATGTGACTCCTTAAGCATTTGACTGGTAAAAATATTTGCAATGCATACAATGAACACATCTGATCTTTTACTACTTAAGGAGCTTAAAATCAATAAGAAAAAGTACAACAATCCATTGAAAACCAAGAAGCAAAAGAAAAATCAACAATAGAAACTTAAATTTAACAGACCTTCTATTAAAATGTGTGTTTGTGTGTGCGTGTGTGTGTGTGTGTGTGTGCGTGCACGCATGCACTTTTGTTAATTATGAGCAAAAGCTCACATGTGAGACAGTGAAAGAAGGTTTAGAGATGAAATGAGAACCTTAAYCCAATCAGTGAATTAATTCCCTGTTRAGGATTAACTCAGTGGTAACTGGAAGCAGGTAGGGTGTGGCTGGAGGAGGTGGGGTTTACCTTTTGTCCTGGTGAGGAGAGCTCTCTTTCTGTGCTCCCTGGTCTTCGTGTTCTGAGCCACTTCCCTCTGCCACAYTCTTCTGCCATGATATTCTGCCTCACCTTGAGCCCTGAGGAATGGAATCGACCATCTATGGAGTGAGACCTCTGAAACTGTGAGCCCCCAAATAAACTTTTTCTCTTCTAATTGTTCTTGTCAGGTCTTTTGGTCACAGTGGCAAAAAAAGCTGACTCAAACAGAAATTGGTACAGAGAAATGGGGGCATTGCTTTGACTAACCTGATCATGTAGCTCAGAAGCTTTCTGAAGTTTGTGGGAGGAATTTTGAAAAGTTCAGACAAGCAAGCTTGAAAAGGTTTAGTTCTGGTAGGAGCTCAGAAGACCAGAATGCTGATGGGACTGTGGATACTCAATGGTGGGCTTGTGGGCTGTCAGAGGAAAAGGAAGACAACTATTGATAACTTGACCAGGGGGCATTCATGTTATGTTCTAACTAAGAAGCTGTCTACATTCTAYCCAAGTCCTAAGACTTTGTTAGGCTGAATTTAAAGGTGAGGTGTTTCTTAATCAGGTGGAAGAAATGTCTAGGCAGCATAGCATTCAGAAAGCAGCATGGATATTACTGGCAGCTTTCAGCAAGTTTATTATGATAATCAGGAACAGAAAGATTTGAAAAATTTGCAGTTCCCACCAGAAAACTGTGAGTAAAACTAGGACGATGGAATATGTGGTTGTTATAGACATTATAACCACTAACAAATCTCCAAAAACTTTGCAGAGAGACAATTAGAAAGATTAGATCTTGGCAAGATCACACCAATCTCAGGCTCAAGGGAAGAAAAGTAAAAATTCCTTTGAGATAAGTAGGGCACCTGCTTGCACAGGGTGGCCTAGGAAGTTGCTTCCCCATCCTCAGTCACCCAGGTACTGAAAGACTACTGCAGCTGTGGTCAATGGAAGCTTGGCTCTTGCTCAAGATTGCATCAGGCCTTGGTGACAACCACGTGGTACTGGTTCTACAGTAAGACAGAATGATGGGATTAAAGGGTCATGGAGGCTTCCACCATGATTTCAAAGGAAGGCCTAGGAGGCCAGGCAGTGTTCCAGGGTCAGAGTCCCTGCAGGCTGCTCCTAGAGGGTGATGCATGGAGTTGTGAGGAGAAAACCAAAGCTGCAGTGGAGATCCCCAAGATTAAGAAATGCCAATAATGTGGAACACCTGCTGAGGAAAGTTTCAGGAATTGAGCAGAGATGTCTCCACAGAGAGGCCACGTGGGCTGCAACCAGCCAAGCTGTAGAGATGGAACTGCACAAGCCCTCTGGAAACATCATAATGCTTTGTGCCCAAGATGCTGGATGTGGAGCTGTAGGACTTATTTGCCCACTGGATTTTGGACTTGCTTTGGTCCCATTCCTTCTTTCAAAGCCCATATTTCTCCCTTGTGGAATAGAAATTTTTACTCTGTGCCTTTATATTAGGATGTATGTAACTTAATTTTGAGTTTTTACAAGAGTTCACACAGTGAGTTTGCCTTGAATCTCAGAGGAGACTTTGGACTTGGACTCTCCGACAATGCTAAAACTCCTAAGATTATGGCAACTCTTGGAAATGGACTATATGCACTTTGCATTGTGAGATGGACATGAACTTTTTTGGGATCAAGGGGTAGAATGTTATAGTTTATATATGAGGTGTCTAGCAAAAGCTCATGTGTGAAACAATGTAAGAAAGCTTAGAGATGAATGATAGGGTTATAAGAGTCTTAATCTAATCAGTACATTAATCACCTGATAGAGTTAACTTGATGATAACCATGGGCAAGTAGGGTGTGGCTGGAGGAGGTGGGTCCTTAGGAGCATGGGTTTGCAACTTATATTTTGTCTGGGTGAGAAGAGATTTCTCTCACTCTGCTTATTAGTGGTCATGTCCTTAACTGCTTTTCTCCACCACAATTTTCGGCCATGATGTTCTGCCTCACCTTGAGCCCTGAGGAATGGAGTTGGCTGTCTATGGACTTCTGAAACCATAAGCCCCCAAATAAATGTTTCCTCCTCTAATTTTTTTTTGTCAGGTCTTTTAATCACAGCAGCAAAAAAGATAACTAAAACAGTGTGTCATTCTTATTTCTAATAAATAAATAAAAGTAGAAAACAAATTGATACTGAGACTTCACTTTTCATATAAAAAAGCCAACCAAATAAAATAGAATATTAACTTTTAAGGAGATGAGTGTTGATACACACATCCACATTGCTGATATATATATATATATATATATATATATATATATATATATACACACATATATATAATTCAAATATGTATACATTTTAGTGAGTTCTTCTCTAATTTTTTTCCCTATAAATCTATGACCACATTACTGTWAGAGGATGGGCCAGCATCACTATCAAGTAAATGAATCCTAAGCTCCCTACTGTGTATTATGCCCTCATGAAGGCCCAACCTGGCACTTAGTCCAAAAGAAGCCCAATCCATTCCTTCTTTACTCTCAACCCCAACACCCAACCTGTCACCATGTTCCAGTGGTTGGACTCTTAAACATCATTCAAATGCATTCTAATTTTATCTTCTATTTCTCTCCTCTCTAGACTCTTTTATAGTCTCTATTACAGTCAGCCTCTGTGCTCCAGACATATTTGCCAGATTAAAGCTAGAATATTTCTTCTTAAACTACAAATTACATCCATTCATCTGGTTAAACATCATGATTTCCTGTTGCTCTTAGATCAACTTTCAATCATCTAATTCATATTATCTTTTTTTTCAGTTGTAGATGGGMACAAAATCTTTATTTATTTACTTATTTGTTTTTATGTGGTGCTGAGGATTAAAYCCAGGTTCTCACACCTGCAAGGCAAGTGCTTTACCACTTAGCTACAGCCCCAGCCCTAATTCATATTTTCCAAGAAACTTCATCACTAGGTCCTGCCACTCTTAGCCTAATGTTAACCTTCTACCACTATGGAGTATAATATCTAAATAACTGGAAAGATGTTTAGAACCTGGAGAAAAATTCAAATAAGCAAAGACTTAAAAAAAGTATAAGATACAGGTGCATACCACTGTTGGTAGAGCTATAGAATGGTGTCAAGTTCTTTGAAATGGAAAGATGACTTGCTTTGGGGGRTTGAGATTGGATACAGACTCCAAGGTGAGGACAGACCACTGGAAATGACATGGAACTTTTTTCCTGCCTGCTTGTTGCACAGAGATTTA